TACGTCGTCCCAAGATTTTGTCGTTATCTATACCAATATGGCTGGCAGGAGAGGTAGCGTTCATATCTATGATTGCCGATAAGGTGAACATACACTATATTTTCATTATTGTCGCTAAAGTAAAAGGTTTACAAATCGGCAGAGTTATCTCCAGGTAAATTCTCTTCATATCTCCAGGTTTTAACATTGAAAAATTGGTCATTTCATGCTTAATATATTCAGAAGGTTTCCTTTCAGAACGACCCATATGTCCCTAAGGGAATTCTTGTATGGAAGCATGATGGGATAAAATTTACCTTTCGATATATGCATTCCTCCACCGACTAAGCCTACGATTGTTACGAGTGGTTGTACTTGTGCTCGTCAAATTTTTTTTTATATTGTTTTTTATATATTTATATAACCAATAAGGCATAGCATGTCTCCTGTTCATGTAACACGGTGACGGTCATAAAGAAGATGAAATGAAGAAAGGCTACAAATATATAGAGAGATGGTGCGAGCACAGTCGTTAAATGTTGGGCCTTTACCAACTGTGCACTCACTATAGCTACGATTAAAGTAAACTCTGCCGCACCTGACATCTGAACCCTTGAACACGAACGGTTGTCGCGATTTTTACCTATTCGACTACTTATGCGGAATCGCTCCTTGAATGATGGCTTTCCCAGTTTTCTAAAAATTTTTCTTCGCAAATTTCCTTATGAAGACTAATATTTTTAATGCCAAAAATTATTCTGTCCGACGTCATTTTTAATTTTATCTTAATTTCAATAGGTTTTGTCGGATGTTTTTAATAAAACTACTACGATAATGTTTTTTCCTAAATAATTTTTCGTTTTTTTTTTTTTTTTTTTTTTTTTTTTTTTTTAACGGTGATAAAATAAAAATTGCACTCAAGTTAAAAATAAATCTTTAATTTTATATCAAAATAATTTTCAATATGCGGAAGCAAATACGCGTATATTGTCAAACCATTCGTACCTAAACGGTTCATATATTTACTCTTAAATTTTATATACAGTTTGATTCTTACAGTTAGACGGTCATTAGAAAGTTTTTTTTCGAAACTTAAAAGGATAGATGTACTTACTAGTCATGAATGATTACGTAAAAGAAGTAAGAAAATTTTGTTTAAATTCATAACAAATAAAAAAAAAATTATACTCGGTTGTGATCGAAGCTGTTATACCCATCACCTTTAACCTAAAAAAAAATTAAGAAAGAAAATAATTAAAAAAAAAACAATATTTTCCTACTCCATAACATTGCATGGACGTAATTGAGATTTCTTCCATTTTTGTTCAGATACTAGAACTAAGTTGTTGTGACGAAAAAAACAATTCATTTTTCTTCTTTGCTTGCTGAAAAAAGAGGGATCTCCCAATTTAGGTTGTACTATGAATGTGTCCTTTTAATGATTTGCATTGCGAATCTGTAGATTAGAATTTTCAATGCATTTGAAGCCGATATTTTTATTCTTGCCAGACCAGAAGAATATTTACCAAAGACGTTATACAAACGGACAAATATAAATATACTTAAAGCGCTTTAGAATGTAATGATAAATAAAAGTACACTCCACAAATATATTTTAAACTGCTAATCCATAGAACTGGAAATACACACCTATTGCAGAGCAGTTAGTTAATCTCGTGATATTCAATTTCAAAATGAAATGATTGAATTAATTCTCATTGGCTTGACTCCTTTTGGTTTTCATCTCACAAGTTGGTTTAGTTAATGGACGTATTATGAAGCGAGTTCTTCTTTAAGCCCAAAAATAGTTAAATGATTTAACTCTCGCGTGGGAAACGAAATGAATTGGAATTCGTCGATTTAAAAAAATTCGAAAGTCCAGCGAAGCGAAAATTTTAACACAAGCCCCGAATATTATTTGCTAATATGTTAATGTACATCTACTTTCTTTGACGAATTTTATTCTCCCATTAATTTTTTTTTTGTTTCTTTCTTTCTTTCGTCTTAGCTACGCATTTCATTTCTTTTGTACTCTCCAAGCTCGTTTATTTAATACCCATATCGGTAGTGATCGCGGCGTTCTACCATATTCATTTTAAAATTAACCCATTTTCAAGCAGGTATATCTTCACTTAAGGAGTGTACAAAATAGTTTTAAACATTCGGTCTGTCCGTCTGCCTTATGATAAATAAGCATAAAACTTGAAAAAATTAAAAGAAAATATAATTTAATTACTGGGGTAACCTTGTGTGGACATGGCCGATTGGTTGCATTTTTTGACCTAGAAAGTAGAGTGTTTCACAACATAAATGTGGAAGATTTCAGACATTTCAGACTTTCATTTACAGTCCAAGTGACGAGCAAAAATCCAAAAATTTTTTGTTAAAAACAAACTGAGTTGCGTTCAGTTTACGCACCACTGCGCGCTTCTGTCGCCGACCAATTTGGCCTATTTTCAAAGACAACTTTCAATGTTCCTGTCAAACTTGAAGCTGATATCTTCTTTTTTGCGACCAGGAGTATGCCGACAACACACATCACACAGACGGACGGTCAATGGCGAAAGTAACTCAACAATACTGCGTATAGATGCAAATTTGATGTTGACATGTATTCATCATTATTATGCTGAATGCCTAAACAATTCGAATGACCACTTTTTAAAGCACACAAGTTCGTTCATCCTATTCATACGTGGAGGTTAATTTAAAAATGTATGGAAACGAATCCATCATTATATTGGCGGCTTATCTATCACCGAATCTCTTATAGCCCCCCCTTGTCGTTTTTCTATGAAAGATTGGAATAAAGAAAAAATTGCCACAGGCCTACCTATCCTACTATCTAGTTACAGAGATACATTTCATGTGCCAAAAAACGAAACTGCAACATAGTTGAGTATACAACAAGTCATCTGGATGGCTGCAAATCTAATTATCTTGCTCCATAAATTCTGCAAACATCAATTCATAAAACAACAACAATATCTAAATTATAAGTTTAGCTGAGTCGTCAAGGAATCATCGAAGGATTTCAGACCCATTGCGATATTTAGCAAAACGAACAGTAAAAGATTTTATAGAATAATTTCGTACATCTGTTCTAGTTTATGGGGCAACGAGCAAAAGACACGGAAAACAAAGATTTTCTCAATTTTGACTTGTATAGATGTGTGGGCGTAGTAGACGTGTTCTTTTGATCTGTTTAAGCTAATTTTCAACTCTTTTGCAAATTTGCAAGCGATATCTGTATAATAAGGATACTTCACAATTTGGCGGGCAAACAGATCGACATGCTTAGGCGCGTCCCGAACTTGAGACTGATCAAGAATTGGTTTTCTTTATAGGCTTTTTGAAGCTTATCTCTGCACGTTATAAAGGCATTAAAAAACAAAAAAACAAGTTTTGGTATACTTTAATATTAGGTAGGCGGGGTCAATTTTTCCCACTTTTTGAACAGATACTATAGCATCATTTGTACATTTATCTGCTGCTATAGTTTCTGAGTAAAGAGCAAAAATTCAATTTTTTTTCAATTTCTTTTAGAAAACAGAGATATTCTCAGTTAACGTGACACTGCAAACGTCTTCGCCAACCGATTTGCGCCATTTTCAATATTAATCTGTGCGCGACAACTTCTAATGTTTGTACCAAATTTGGAATCCATAGCTTCATGTTTTGCAGTCAGTCAGGAGAATGTTTACAACAGATATTACGCACACGGACAGACGGGCGTGCTTAAATCTACTCAGAATTTAATGCTGATCAAGAATATATATATACTTTATGGAATTTCTGAAGCTTCCTTCGGAGCGTTGCAAACGTTTCGACAAAACGAATGTAGTCCTTTTTCTTTGATTTGATGGATATACTAATTATTTGAATTGTAAATGATCCTCAAGAGAGAGAGAGAGAGAGAGAGAGAGAAAGAAGAGCTCTTTTAAATACAATGCGATGAAACTATAGACAGGATTTTAAACTCAAAAAAAATAAATAAATAAATAAAAGAGAAAAAAGAAAAAATCATAAATTTTTAGACGAGCTTAACAAGACGATCTTTCCGACCAGACCAGAAGATGCACACTTTCACTTACTTTATAGGGCACCTGATGTATGCTAACTGCTTATCATTGTTTTTTAACAGTACATCATTATTGTTTAATAAAACAACTGCTTATGCATTTAATTGTGTAGCGGCGATGCATGCATATATATATATACATATACATATTATATACATATACATATATATATATATATATATTTGCATATAAAGCAAATGTATGAGTATGTAGGTATGAGTGTATATAAAGGATTATGTATATGGCTTTAATTGTTATATAACATATTTTGGTTATGTTGCCTCCTAATTTTAGTTTCCTTTATTTAGTCTATTCTAATAATTTATTAAATTTAATACCTGCCTTCACAGTATCCATTCTGTTTATAGATTTATAAGGAAGGTGAGTGCGTATATGTATGTAGATATGCACATACATTTTTATAGATAGGTAAGAAATATTATATAAATATTTACCTAAATTTTTCGTTTTGTAATTCGTTAAAAAATCGTTTATAAATTTTTAGGCCTCTTCCTCTTCCTCTTCATTATCATTTTCTTCGGCTGTTGTAATATATTTTTCCTTAATTTTTTTTTTTTTTTTTTTTTCATTGTTATTTTTATTAAACTTAAAAATAAATACATTAAATAATAACTGCGTTAATTATCTTTACGATATTTTATATATATATATATTTTTATATAGTCCTCCTTCTCCTTCTCTTTATCGTCCTTTTTCTTTTGCCTTTCATCCCACACACATACGCATATATGCATACACACAAATACAAACGCGCGCACACACACACACACACGCGCGCGCACACATACAGACATATACACACACACACACACACACATACAGACATATACACAAACGCGGGCGCGCGCGCACGCACGCAAGCACACCCACGCGCGCAAGCGCATGCGCACGCATACATGAATTCGGCAATTCGTTTAACCGTTTCATATCTTTATCGTTCAAGATAATTGCAATTGTTCGCATCTGCATTCAATATCAATGGATTTATACGCGTTGGCGTGAATGAGGCTAAAGTCTTTTTCATTAAATGATTGTGTGTGATTTGAGCATGCATGGCAGTGTGTAATTCACAATTCGCATCAACTTACACTGCTTGGGTTTTGTTTTTGCTCCTGCTTGGTTTTTTTTTTTTTTTTTTTGTTTTTTTTTGCAATTTTAATTAATATTCTACATAAGAAGAAGAAGAATACATACATACAATTACATGGAAGTAAGCGGCGACATGTTTTGTTGATTTGTCAATTTGTTGCATGCATTGTTACGTTTTGCTTCAATGTCGTCTTGTGAGTTTATCTTACTTTCATCACTAGAAATGCGTAAACGTTTTGTTAGTGTGGCTGTTGGCGTATGCGCGTTTGTGGTTATAGTTATTGTTGTTGTATTTGTTATCGTAGTTGCATTTTCATTGACATAAAGTCCATTTGAATTGTTAACCGCATATCTATGCTATAGGGAACCAGCCGGAAAACTTGTTGAACTATTACTATGCGCTAAACTAATCATTGAACCCGATAAACTACCCTCCTCATCAGGGTATGTCTCACGCGATCCTTCGGTAATAGCTAAAGCACTACAATTATACACCAGCAAAAAAAACAAAAAAAAAACATTAAGACGGTTTTCAATGTTTGCTTAAAAAAATTTTCAATAACAAAAAAATTGTTTACCTGAAACCTAAAGCTATTGATTCCTCATCGAATGCTTCCAGTTCTTTAACGTGTTTTTCATGTTTCATACGTAACCTTTCAGCACGTTCTTGATTGAATTGTTGCAATTCAGCTTCCATCTGTAATACAACAAAATCAATCAAATATTAAGACAATGGCATTCAAACAATACTTCTATCTATGCAGCAATTTATTGGATCTTTTTTCTTTTCCCAAAAAAAAAAAACAAATAATAGAAAGATTAGCATAAATGATTATTTTATTTATAGCCTACAATCTTAATAGAAAAACAAACAACAAATAAGATAGTTATATTCGCCGAGGACCGAATCTCTCACTCGCATACCCATCCCCCTATGCTTTTCGCATTCTACGCCCCAAGCTCTTTTATTTAATATCCATATCTCTCGCTAATATTATTAAGAAAAATGTAATCGCCTTATGTACACCATATTCATTTTAAAATTAACCCATTTTCAAGCACATATATCTTCACTTAAGGAGTGTACAAAATAGCTTTAAACATTCGATCTATCGGTCTATCTGCCTTATGATAAATAAGCATAAAACTTGAAAAAATTAAATTTAGTTACTGCTAACTTTGAGTGGGCATGGCCGATTGGTTTCATTTTTAAACCTAGAGAATAGAGTGTTTCGTAAAATGAATGTGAAAAATGGAGTAACGAGTAAAAATCGAAAAATTTATTTTTTTAAGAAAAACAAAACTACGTTCAATTGATGCGCCCCAATACGGGCCTTTGCTCTAAGCGGCCAATTTGGCCCATTTTCAACACAAACATGCGTGCAAGAATTTCCAATGTTCCTGCCAAATTTCAAGTCGATATATTTATTTTTGCAATAAGGAGAGTACAAACAACACACACCACACAGACCACAGAGACTTGGCTTAATCAACTTAGAATTTTACACTGATCAAGAATATATATACTTTATAGGGTCACCGAAGGTTCCTTTTTGAATATTAGATATGTTATGGAAAAAGATAAAATAAATATACGGCCCCATCTCTTACAGTGTTGGGTATAATAATGAAATGTATAAAGCTTAAGAGCGAATAAAGATGACATGGCTATGGCTAGCTGTCCCTAGGATAATTAAAGTTTCGTATATCAATGACAATGAAACGTCAAATACATATTGAATGACAAGTGCGTGTGCGTGTGCGTATGCGTGTGCGTGGTATCAAAGGATTTCTTTTTTTTCTTTGATTTTTAAACTTTTTTTTCACACAACAAGTAATAATAGCTCCCCTTGGGAAAAGCTACATTGAATTGGGCAAGTACGTCATCGAGCTGCCGATACACCCAATATCATCTTTATTCAAGTAGTAGTAATAGTATGTTTGAATGTCATTTCGGTACATTCGAATTCTTTTAGTATGCGTTCGTTTTCTGTAATAGACCTAAACCTAATTAAAAATCATAGTCTCAGAAATTTCGAGTTGTTATGCATACGAATCGTGTCGCCGCAAATTTTGAATACGAATTTAAGTCTTTTTACTTTTTACTTGCGTTACGCAAGACTTTAAGCCAGGCCTCGACTTGAACATATTCATATATATGTGAATAGCATTTACATCTCGAAGTATTATTATTACTTTCGAAAGATGATACATTGATTATTAAAGCCAATAATGTAAACTATTTGAACCTTCAGATACATTACATTAAATGCGTGTCTTATGTCCTACGATATGTTATATGTTGTAGCTTAAATCTGACAATGTACGTATACGTGAAAAATTCCAATTATATATCATATATGTTACAATTATGTAAATGATTTGGATTTTTGTGCATAGAATTCGGAAAATTCGATCGTATATTGTTTTAGTTTCAAACTGAAATTATTCAAATTTGATAAAAAACAAAAAAAAAAAAAAATAAAGAAGAAAATAAACAACAAACGATGAAAGAATTTCATTGATGACATATTCTCGCTTATATGCATTGTTAATATTTTCGGGCAAGCAAACGAGACTGAGAAGAAACTGAGAATATGTAAACGCGAACTCGTCAGCGAACTATGACCATAAAATAAAATATTCGAGATAAGTTATTAAAAAAATTTGCAGGAAAAAAAGTATATTATTATTATCGTGTAGAGGGGGCGGGGCGAGTTAATTGAGTATGGCGAGTCAATTAAATTTTGTCGATTCTGTTTTGCTTACCTTACTTTCTAAAACGCTACGACGTTGTGCCACACGATTTTCAAGTTCACGACGTTCGCGGTCACGTTGTTCCTGGGCTTGTTTTTTATTCTTATTTTGATATGCCGTAAGTTCTTCTAATTCGTATTCCAACATTTCATTGGTACGTTGGCACTCAATCACTTGGCTTTCATCCAGTTTATAGCTCTGACTTTGAAACATATCAGCGATACTTTGTTCATACTAAAAAAAAAAAAAAAAAAAAAAAAAAAACGACATATATAGATCGACATGATAGATGGTTATAATTATTTAACGAAACAAGAAGAAGAAGAAGCATCATCATCATCATCATATTATCTCACTTACTTGTTCACCGAGCAATGTTAGCTTACGATGCTTTTCCTCTTTTAATTGCTTAATGACTTCTTTTTGTTGCTCCTTTGGTGTTGTTTGTAATATCTGGGCCTTATATCGTTTATATTGTTTGGTTTGAGTTTTACATGTTTCGCGGAATTGTTTACGAATTTGCAACTCTTTTTGCTACGATTAACGGTATTATTAATAATAATCAATGAAAAAATCAATGAAAATTTATTTTCAATTAATTACGGTATTAATTATTATACCTTAAGACTCTTTGGATGCTGCCTAATTTCCATGGCATGCTTTCTGAGCAACTCTTTTTTCACTCGTTCCATATAAATTTTTTGATTTTGTAATTCAGTATCGTGTTGTTTATTAATCTGAACAATGAGAATAGATCAAAGAAAAGACAAAAAAAAAAAAAACGGAAAGAAAACGAAAATCATAAAAATTAATTATTAATTATTTACAAATTATTTACTTGCTCTTCTCGCAACTGATGAATACTTTTTTGCTGACGATACTCCAATTCTTGGGTTTTCTCGTGATGTTTTAATAGCATAGCGTGAGCTTGTTCAAGTTGTTGTTGTTTTTTCGCCAATTCCTAAAACCATTCAAAATGCAACAAAATGAATTCGAATGAATTGAATTGATGGAATTATTCTTTAGCATACATCTCTTAACAACTGATCCTCTAGTTCGTGCAACATAATTAGACGCCTTCGTTTAAATTTACGCATTTCTAGTTCAATGTATTGCTTTTGCAACGTTAAAAGACGTTGCTCTTCCTGAGCCTCAGCCTGTTTTAGATTATCCTTTTGTGATTGCAGCGTCAAATCACGCTGACGTTTCGGTGTCGACTCGTCCATCGACAATTCCCGTTTCCATCTCTCCTTATTTGCTTTATATTCTTTTTTGCGATTTAAATCGAACGCTTTACGATCACCTTCTTGCTTAAGGGAAATCTCTTTAAATAATTTTTTCTCCGCAGCAGACGTTTGCTTCATACGCCTTTCCAAATCCTGTTGATGTTTGGCCTATGCAAATGCGCAAATGCCATAAGTAAGCAATTTATTAAAAGAACAAAATATACATATATATTATATATTATATATATATATATATATATATATATAGAGTTGATACCTCTAGTCTTTCTAATTCTCTGGTAAAATTGTGTAATAAGTTATCGTACTCCTTATCTAAAGCATTCTTATGCGCTTCCATTTCAACTTTGCATTTCTCTTCAAGTTTGAGTAGAGCGGCTTGATGTTCGCGACGCATTCGCTTGTAACCCGACATTTGTTCATGCATCTCTTCCTGTAATTAACAAAAAAAAAAAAAAAAAAAAAAGAAACCAAAAAAAATAAATAAATAAATAACAACAACAACGTAAAAAATGTAAATTTAAAATTTAGTGAAGAGAAAGCAATATTCAAACATAAATTCTAATTACATCTACGTTTTCCCCACTATAGTTAAAAAGATCAACAAAATGTGTGCGCATTATTAACATAAATCAAAATAAGTATGAAATAATTTTCTAAAATACTAAAAAAGTGAATTATTTTTAAGCAGAATAAAACATATAAGCGCGCATACTTAAAAAAAAACGGCTATATAAAAATGATATAGAATAGGCGTGTGTGTGTGTGACTTTTGAGATTTTTGCCAATTTTCAAAACAGATCGAACAGATCGAACAGATACTAACTAGATGCTATATTATATTATCGTAGTTGATAGTTAGATAGTATTTTAATTTTCCAATGTCAAACTCTTTCTTTTCAGCCCTTACACAATGGCCAACTTAGGTTTTTTTTTAAACTTTCGGTTTGTCCAGTTATGTTACAAATGAAAATTTCATTTGCGAGCCGCATTAGTTTCGCCATTTCAAAGCACTTTCCAAATAAAAATTGTACCGAAATTGTCATCGCGTAGCTCCGCCGTTAGCGGTCCCCTGGGACGCGAATATTCAATTCGATTTGATTGCCATACAGAAGAACTTTAGGAACCTGCACCAGGCACCACGCCAATGTGTGACAGCCAGCACCACCACCAGCATTTGAAAATAATTAAATGTCATTGGTATGATTAACAAGCAAAGCAAGGAAATTCATTACTATTCGGAAACACGAAAAAAAAAAGGTCTTGAAAGGCGAATAAAAAAAATGCAACCGCCGTCCTGGTAGTTCGATGAAAAATCACAATACGGACTAGGAGAAGATTATTTTTACATCAAAGACAAAATCGAATAGTTATGGGTCGAAGGTCATAAGGCAAATTGAATCAGCCAATTATTATTGAAGGCGAAACAATATGTCCACAATATGTCGACAAATACGATAACATTCCGCGGCCCATCTACTATACCCAATCATATAAAACATTTAGTAACCATGAGCACGAGCACGAGCTAACTTTACCTTCTATATTAACCAGCTATAGAACTACCATTTGCTTCTTTCGATCACTTAATGGCTGCCTGTCTGCCTACCTGCCTGCCTGCCTATCTACCTACCTACCTACCTACCTACCTGCCTAAATTGCACTCTGAACGCTTTCTGAACGCGAATAAATGTCACAAGGACGCATATTACTCTCGACACGAAACTCATATGCTACAAAAAAGATAGAAAAAATACGATACGACCGACAAGCGTAGACAATATTTAGAATTCTGCATTAAAGCGATTCTTATCTTCTTATCTGATTTTAAAGCAAATATTGATAAATCAAGTCACACGCCTAGTACTTACTAAGCACAAAACGTATAAGCGCATACTTGCAAAATTGTGTAAAGAAAATCGACAGGATTTGCTTGTATACTCGGCCTACTACATTCGTTACGTTGCAGCATTTCGAATTCTTTTTTATTCATACCTGAAAGAAATGTTTTTTTGATTTATAGCTTATTCAAAAATTTGATCATTTTTTAAATCTTCCTTTTATATATCTTATCTTTGCAGAGATAATGAAGGCGAAAGAGAATGTTATTATGATTAGTGTTAAAAAAAGTGATGGAAAATTCGATTGGTTTTCAATAAAAACACAGCAGATATTCTTGAAGCCATTGAAGAAAGTTTTTGTTTTTATCGCTTTTGTTTTCGCAGTCAACAAAAACTTATTATATGACTGTCGAGATAAACATGTCATTTTGTATAGTCGATGCATAGAAAGCTTACTGAAAATGGTTACAAAAGCGATATCGATAATTACGCTAAGACAATTTTCACCTTGCAAGCAAGATGAACACATCCCCGAAGTCCGAAAAGGCTTTGGCTGATCTGCAGTAATGAAATATATATATATATATATATATATATATATATATAATTTTGCAGAATTGAAAAAAATCTTTCCCTCATATCCGGTATATTTACTTGATTTTTTTTTATTTTTTATTTATTTTTTATTTTTTCTTCAATCCCTCTTTCTCCATAGCATGTACTCATCACTTTTTTTTATTACACACTGGCTAGAAATCTGAAACGTAGCTAAATCGTTCCACAAAATTATGCAATGATGTTTTTTAATTTTGTTCAAGTTTCAGAAGACTAACGAAATAATGAATGGGGGGAGTGAAGAAGTAGTAGAATTGATTTGATTGATTCTACATTTCAATCATTGAAATGTATTGTGATGATTATTGTGAAGGTTTATGGATAATGTGTATATCATGTAAAATGATATCAGATAGATAGA